TTTGGCTTTCTTATGTGTAAGAGTAGATCAGTTTGTTAGTTTGGTATTGATTTTAACATATGCTGTATAGTGACAGCAGCATTGTCTTGTGTTGTTAGCAAAATAATATAAACATATATTGGGAAGGTTTAAATATATCATGCAGTTTATTTTCATAACTATATTTTTGAACTATTTAAACCATATGTTGTTAATAAACTTTGCTGCACTAATAATGCAAAGTAAAGAGACAGGATTAAATTCTTTTTACTTATTAAGATATTAATTTGAGAGTCAAGATATTTAATACATAAAGCTGCAAATTAAATCATATTTCAAGTGTTTGAGATGCCCATGTATAAAATCCAGTGTGATACTTATGGTCAGGCTAAATTTATAGACAGTCTGGCAAATAGTTTTATTATTCAGTAGACATCATTTAGATAATTTGTTACAATTACCAAAATTATTTCAAAATAGAGGCTGTTTTGATTACTTAGATGTTTCATTTCAATTACAGATAACCTCTTAGTGGTGAATTAAGATTTCTTCTGTAACCATTTTCAAAGATTACAAAATTAAATGCATAGAAGTATCACAGACATGTCTTCTTTATTTTGAATGTCCTTTACACACTTTGGGAATAAATGGTCCTTATGGCAGAGTCGACTTTCCTTTTATAGGCTACTTTTCCTGCCTCAATGTGTAAAAATGGTAAAAAATTTTCAAAGATATTGAACAACTCAAAAATATTAATCATTGAAGCATCTTACAAAACTTGCAGATTTCACTTAAACACTGTTATTGGTTAAATTATGAGTGAAAAATTGAACAGAAATAGAGAAGTTAAAATTTTAAAATTTTTTTTCACTCTAATTTCTGCCAAACCAATATATAAAACTCAAATTGCATAACTTGGTTTTTCTGCTTCAGCTGTATTTTCAAGTAATATAGAACCTAGGCTTTAATTTTTCGTTTTTCAATATTTATCTAACTTGTGCTACTTTTAAAAACTTTATCAACATTCTTCATGATATACATAAAATTTAAGAGCATAAATTATTTAATTATAATTTATTTTTGTAGTAATTTAGTACCATTATCCATGGATTAGATTCACTTACAAGAACATATAATATTCAAAACTGAATAAAATTTAGCTGCAGATCTAATCTAAGAGGAAAACTTGTGTACCTTTAATGTCTCCTGGGATGATTGATGCTCCCTATTTCTGAATTTTTATATGAAAAAACTATAAAATATTTGAAAATATAAAATAATATATAAACTGAAAACTAAAAATTGGTATTGTAATGTATATTTTTAGTTTCTCGTTACTTTTATGTATTTTCACACTTTGTTCTCCAAAAGAGCTTACCATTGTGAACAAAACATTATTTATTTATTTATTTTTTCTTGAACATCAATGATCAATGTATGTATGTCATGTAAGTCTGAAAGATGAGAAAAAAAATGCAATGTTTGTGATTATTTTCAACATTAAAAAATATTTTAACAAATTTTAAGATTTAGCTCTTAATTTTAGAACAGTCAAATGAATTTGATTTTCACAATTTGTATCCAAGAGTAATCATTACTTTAAAATATATAAATTACATAGATGACATTTATTTTTATATCCTTAAAAGAAACATATTTTATTTCACTACAATTTAGCCTATTTCATTAGTATGCTTGCTTTTATTGAATTGATACTAAAGTTTCTGGATGTTTTTAGATCTCTGTAGAATATTCAAAATTGTTCTTCAAAAGATGCCATCTAGAAGTTTCTTGCAAATGTAAATAAAGGATGTTGAGGTACACAAACATAAGTGAAAAGATATTCTNATAAAAAAACAAATGATCAAAATTATTAACAAGCATCTTAAATTATTTTCTCTCTTATATTTTTAGGAAACAAAATTTTTATTTCATTTAAACTAATCTTTACTTATCAAACCCTTGCTTTTTAATTTTAACTTAATTATCATAAAAATCTATTTTATATAAAATTAGAATTTGACAATACATACATGGGTCAAAATGACCCAGTATATGCATTGTCAAAATAACCATAGTGTATCAAAGGGTTAAAAAGTAATTATTCAACACAAAAAATGAGAAAAAACACATCATGCACATATAAGAATGATAAATTATTATTCTCTTAGAAATCAAGAATAAACATAAAAATTAATTAATAATATATTTTTAAATGTACAATTCAAAAATAAAATTAATTACGATATTCAAAAGAATTTAAAATTTTTTCAATATCTACAAATTAATATGTATTTACTTACATAAATCTTCACCTATTGGAAGAAAATCATATGAAGGCACTTCAATATGACTCCAAGATACATTTGAATATAAGAAAGTGGAGAAATTACATTTTACATAAATATTCTCTATGTTTTTATTCTTATTTAGTTCCCGATTATCAGAAGATACTTGAATTCCATTTGCAACATCTAAAAACAAAAAGCACATATTTTTTATTTAATTACAATAAAGGTAATTATTTTTGGAACTGATCACAGAAATAAATTTGTACAATAGTAACTAAGATTCCAAGTTTTAAAATCATTATATTTTATTTTATAAAACTGAAAAATTGCATAAAGTCTAAAATCAATGGGATGCAAAGATAGACAGAAAGAATGTAAAGAATATGGTCCATACTACCAAAGTTCTTTTGGATACTCTTTTGTGTCTATACTATCTTTTAGTAGTATGGACAGAAAAAGTATACATACAGTCGACCCCCCTATAAGATCATTGATTTTTCCGTTTTATCTGAATTACATGTTGTACGAGTCACTTAGATTTTACAAATACGTGTGCCGGGCTGTGAACGGTTCACATATTTGTAAAATCTAAGTGACTCGTACAACATGTAATTCAGATAAAACGGAAAAATCAATGATCTTATAGGGGGGTCGATTGTATTCGGTATTCGGCCGAATACCAAATATTTAATCACTATTCGGCCGAATACCTAAAACAGGAGTAATAAATAACAAAAACACAGTAAATTAATCGTTTTGGTATTTAGATTTAATATTATCGAGTTATTATTGTTTGTTTATATTTATTTATAACTTGTACATGCACAAAATAAAAAAGAAAATAATATTAGTCACATGTATTCACAATTTATAATTACAAAGATCAGCACACGTACACGTCCTACGTTGGAGAATCCTTGCACATCTGAGGGTCTGACGTTGCCTATCCTTCTTTTTAAGTGCTCGTCTTTGCTCTTCCCTTTCTCTTTTCTCTATCACTGTAATCCATGTATGCCTGTGCATACATCATAATACGCGCTCATGACATTCGATTTGTCACTTTTCCGTCGTAAAGTTCCCATTTTACAATTACGCGACTCAGCCTGGTTATAACGGAGAAAAGAGACAGATAGGACGTCGATATAAGTCACAGTTATGATTTCACAGATTCGAGACAGCTTGATAGCCCGAACGGCCCCAGGCTTTCGCCCGTGCACGCTAAGTGACTTTCATTACAAGCATTTAGCTTTCCGAAGTCTATGGCAACAATTGTTTGGCATTGACGGGCGCGAATTTTGTGCCAATGAGCTGCCTCGACTTGTTCGATTATGTTATCAACTCAATTTCATATTTATTTTCACATTTTCACTTTGCGGTCCTTTTCTGTTCTTTTTCCGTTATTTACATGTGTCATTTCATTGTTATCCACATTTGATATCATCATTTATCACACACTTCCATAACATTCTTGTCTGTCCACTACAACTGCCAAGAATTAACGCAATGGCGAAGCATAGTGACAGCGAGCCAATAGAGAGCAGGGTCCTTGCCATAATGCGGTTTGCGCGCCAATTACGTGCGTTAATCAAGCCGAATATTCGGCTATTCGGCCACGCTCTTGGCCAAATATTCGGTATTCGGCCTCAGGCCGAATATACTGTTTGTTACAACACTAATATATATATAAATTATATATATATATATTTTTTTTTACCTGGCAACTTATGAATAGAAAATAATTTTGAGATATTTTAATACAATATATAGCAGAATCTGAGAAAAATGTAATACATTATACATATTTAAAAAGATAAACTTGTGTTATAAACAGAATTTAATAAAAGCATAGAAATTCTCTTTACATCATTACAATATAAAAAATTTTCAAAATTGCTATATATTTGAGAACTTGATCACTTGTTTAATGTGGGATTTGATTAATGTGCAAAAATAACGACAGCAATCCTTTTTTATACATGACTAAAATTTTAATTAATGCAGCTTTAACAGCTGTCTTTATGTAACAGACGTGTTTTTGGTAAATAAGGTGTTGGTGAATTTGCTATTTTCATTGATTAAAATAATATTTGTTATTAACTTAAAATTTGTTCTAGCTGATGGTGATTGTTCAATCAAGTACCAAGGTACAATCTGTATTTGATTAATGCAATTTTGATATACACGATAGCATAAAGGGATTAATTAACCACATTAATTAAGGGATACCTGTATATAAATTATTGTACTCTTTATTTTGTATATTAATTTTTGTCTGTCATGTCTGTTTTGTCTTCTTATCTATTTAAGTTTTTTTCTTTCAGTTTTCACTATTATATCTATGGTTAACAATCTGTGTTTTAATTTTCCTGACACATTACTGCTCTTTACATTATTATATATCTTTCTATACATTTAACACACTTTCTATAATAGAGATGATTGTTTTCTACCAGTTTTTTAAAAATAAAATTTAAAAGTTTTATAATTTAGAAGTATAATTTATAATTTAACTGCTATAAACTTTTTTGATCATTTATTTATTATTCAAAAATAACCACTAGTTTACAATTTTAATATCTGAACTTAATTAACTAAGTTTTTATTCACAATATATTGCAACAAATATGCTAATTAAAACATTTATTTTAAAATTTGAATAGCCAGAATAGTTGTCAAGTATAACTTTCTTTAATCCATTTTACTGTTTTTGTTAATTGTAAATATTTTTAGACAGGAGATTTAAGAGTTAAAATGTCGCATTCTCCTGAAGATAGCCTAACATCTTGTGCTTGGCATAAAGATGGAAAAAAATTTGTAACTGGGGGTACTAGAGGACAATTTTATCAATGTGTAAATTATTTAATCTTATTTGTCATTTTGTTACTGTGTGTTAATATGTTTAAGTTAGATAATTAATATAAACTATTATTTTTAGGATTTAGATGGAAATGTTTTAGATTCGTGGGAAGGGGTACGTGTACAGTGTTTAATTTGCAAAAATGATGGAAAAACTGTTTTAGCTGCAGATAAACATCATAGAATTAGAGGTTACAACTTTGAAGAACTTACTGACTTCAATATGTGAGTAATTATATAAATTTAACATTTTATTTGCTTTCATCATGATAATGTATACCTGTTGTTTGATTTAATATAAATATTCATGTGTGTCTATGGCTGTCTGTATGTTACATTATTAAACAGGAATGCAGAACTTTTGTAGTTAACATATTGTAAAACCTCAAATTGTGGACAGTCTCAACATTCTTGATTGTCCATATTTTGGTCCATATTCAGTGCCCAGAGTTAAGCATGAATCTTTGAAAAAATTTTTAATTATGAGAGTTACAATAATACACTGAGGTAAATCCTTTGTTGGAAGTTTTGTGAATAAATTTATATAAAGCTGTTTTGTTTAAAAATGCTTTGGAGAGAATTTTTTGTAAGCCAATTTTTTTTTTTTTTTTTCATTCTCTCTGTCTAGTAGAAGAGAATGTGAAAAAAATTGGCTTACAGAAAATAAAGATTATTCACTTAAATATTTTTTGAGCTCACTGTACAGTATATTTGTCACCAGATTTAATTTTTTTTTCACAATTCATTATTATGCATTAAGTAAGCAAGTTTTTAACTGCTCACTTGCCAAATCGATTAACTCCACAAAACAAAAAGTATAAAATACTTTTTGTTTTGTGGAGTTAATCAATTTGGCAAGTGAGCAGTTAATATTTCTTCTCAACTTACTTATGAAAGCAAATAATATAATCTCAAGTCTGGGGGCTGGATTCATGACAACAGCAGAGATGTCATTTCAGAAAGCAGGTAAAACTAGCTCACTGTCAGTGTTGAAAATAAACATTTATGCCAAATCTATCAGTTACTCCTATCTGTCCATCAATGATGATTAGTTTTTATATTTAATAGATATTTATTATCAAAAAAGTAATTTTTAAAAAATTTAATTGTGCAGTATCAATTGAATATACTAAAAATACATGCCATTCTAGTGATTACTCTTGTTGGGCTGCAATTTGAAAAAATTGTAGATCCATAAATTCCCACTGTTGTCTGTCTGTCTGTCTGTCCTTACTTAATCTCAAACAGGGTTAGGTAAATGAAAACCGAGACCAAATATGGAAAGCTTAGGGCAGGTGGCTCTGATTAACTATTTATGAACATACTGGTTTGCACCAGAAGTCATGGTATTTCAATTTAAAAATTTCCCCCAAAAGGAGTTAGATGACAGGCATGACTCTGTTATTATCAGGAAAAGTATGATGTACAGGGGCAAGACACTATTAATTTGAGGTGGAGAGCATATAATTTAAATTAAATAAATTAAAAATATGATTTTTATCTTAAAATTTGAATGGCAGTTTTTCATCTGTTATAGTATATGATCATATTAATCAAGTAATATCTAGAATAAATTTATATCTAATTTATGTGATGCATTATATAAAATTAGACTAAAGTATATTGATTCTTATCAATGATAAACATCAATTGCACTATTACACTTCTATGAAGTCTTTAACATGTTATATAATGATTAATAATGTATCTTATCATCAAAATAATAAATGACCAGACATCCCAAATTAGATGGGGAAAGTCCTGATTTTTAATACACTGTCCCGACTTTTAAATGGTTTGAAAAATGTCCCACTTTCAAAAATAACAAGTATTCATTGCATAAATTGTAAATCAAAAATTAATTTCATACAACTTATAGCATAAAAATCTTAATATCCAATTTATTGAAACAGTAGTACAATTGGTGATTTATTGCCCAGTCTAACTGCCGTGTGTTGGATAACAGTAAATGCATAGCATATGCAAGTACCATGATTGTGTGGGTCAATTATAAAAGAAAGTTGATGATTTTTGCTAATTAACAGCAATTGAAGCAAACAAAGCTCCACTCAGACCCATAATTAAATGTTAATTATTGTTATCATTATAGGTTATTTTGTAAACAAAATGTAATACTAAAGCATTCATTTATTGTTCTAACATCTGTTATCAGTTATACCAGAAAGCTAGAAAACTGACTGGAATTCATTTGTATGGTGTGATTCATCTGACATCACATTGAAGCACCTGCCTAACCACCTGCTTTTTACATTTCAGATCTAGTTACTTTATATACAGTGGTGCCTCATATAACAAACGCCTTGAATAACGGACTCTGTAAACAACGAACTTTCTGTTTGGCCGTTACATGACTCAAGCAATGGACTGGCTGCGAACAACGGACTTTCTGTTCGGCAGTTACGTGAGGCGAACAACAAACTTTCTGCGAGCAAGTGCGAATGATGTTTTCACTCTTTTACCGTTGCCAATGACAATCTGCTATTTTTATGATATATTAGTATTATTAGAATATATTATTAGTATATCTGAAGTACAGAGCTCCCATTGGGATTCGGCTTGCTCCCTTGTTTATTATGTACGGTACATCACCTCAGTGCAGGGTATTTACATTTATTCAAGTGTTGTGCATATCATGGCTTCTAAAAAACAGAAAAGTGATTTCAATTGAAACAAAGCAAAAAATCATCAGAAGGAGTGAAAGTTGACTAAAACTTTCTTGTGAAATGGGGAGAGGTTCAGGAATTTACCAACACTCATTATCCAAACAGAGCTGAGGCCAACAGGATCAATGATCTCTACAATGACACCTTTGCCCGTCATATCCGACAGGTGTTAAAGAAGAAAGAGAAACAGACCACCTTGGTCATGTTTTTTCAAGAAGCCAGCAGGCAAAAAACAAAGGATGGAACAAGAGGAGTTGACCCTGCAAGCTCTGGTAGCCTCTCCTAAATCTGACTTCGATTAAAAAACAATAAAAAAAGACCTGCTGCAATGTGTAAAAAGTTATATCTGTATGAATGTGTGAAGAAAGTGTTCTTCCGCCTCCTACTCACAACATCTGACTACCCGGCATAATTGGTGTCTGCTCCATTTTCATTTTTTATGGTACAGTATGGTTATTTTATGCTGCGGAACGAATTATATGTTTTAGCATGTATTTCTATGGGAAAATGCGTTTCGTATAATGGACTTTTCACTTAACTGACATGCACCTGGAACGGATTAAGTACGTTATACAAGGCACTACTGTATTATGTTAGAATGGTAAATATTTTGAATCTGACATTTCCTTAAAATAATCATTTTAAATTATACAATTTCTTAATTTGAAATAAAATTTTTGGATGCTTACTGTGATATATTCTAAACATTGCTAATCATTGAATTACAGAATACATTATTTAAAGCTGCTATGATTTTTCATACTATGAGCTTATTTAAAAATAAAAAGAAAGTTAAGAAATTTTCTCTCTCTCTCCTCCTTTCATGATTACCACCACTTAAAAGTTTTAATGCACAAGGAGTAACATTTCTAATTTTCTTATTGGCCAATGGAAGTGCTGGTAAAATTCCATGCTATAAATACTGGATGCTACTTTGTCATTAGCAGTGTAGTCTCTACAATGACTTTCATGAATTGCATCTACAAAAGATTATTAAACTGTTGTTTTTAATGATGTCATTAGTAATGAAACTTTTGTGAATCTAGCCCTGAATATTTAACATAAATTTGACATATGATTGTTTGTTTTGTTTAGGATAAAAAGAAAAGTTTATTAAAAATCATGAAACTGAAGGTCTAACACTATTTTTTTTTTTAATTTAACATGATATTTAAGTGTAATATTTTTAAATCATAACACAAATAATTTTAAAATTTATTTTATAGTCAAATTGAAACTTTATCAGTTTGCAAATAAATTGCAATAACTATTCCTATACTTTATTAATCAGTAATATGATGTAATGTAGGTAAATGTTATTATTGAGTTTAAATTTTTTTAAAGCAGTTGTGAACATCACATTGGCTTTTGTACTTTGATTTACATAGTTTGATTTATGTAATATGCTTAATTTTCAGTTTTTTTGAACAAAATCCAGAATTTTATTTTTATGTATCCTAAAAATAAGAGTTAATGATGTTTTGAACTAAAATATTGCTTTATTTTATTTTACAATATTTTTTAATAACTTATTGTATCCCTTCAGGACTCGCATGAATAATTTTCCACTGGAGCTCGTGTTGGATCATATATGACCCGGAAATTGCATTTGTTTAAAATTGCTTTATTAATGTGATATAAAATGAATAAATTATTTAATTTCAAAGAAGATACACACTTTTCTTATAGTAAAAATTTCTCAAGTTGAGTAAGAGTAAACATGAATTTAAAAGTTTTGAAAATTGTAATGCAAGAAAATGTAAGATCACATTGGGAAAAACCGAAGGTGATAAGCATACATAAAATGTAACTTATTTATCAAATTTTTTTTAATTATTACTTATAATAACTAAATCTCATACTTAATTCATCTAATAGAAGTTTTTTGAGTCGTATATTGCATAATGACATGCAGAAAGTAACATAAGGACGCGCCTCGGGTCAGAACAAATATGAACATGCTTATGTTTCTAGTACCGAGATGATAGTAGCACTGAACAATAAATCATTTCCTGATAGAAGATTACAAAGTCTGTCTCCTCACACAAATACAAAATAAAATTTTTTAATTTGAAAATTACCTTGGGTCATAGTGATCCGACATGAGTCCGGAAGGGGTATTTTAAAGTTTAATTTTTAAGTAATTTTTAAAATAAGAATGCTTTATAATGCTATACATAAAGCAACATAATGAGGAGAATATTTATCAATAATTATTAATTTTTATTAGAATTCAAGAAGATCATTCAATAATGTCTTTTACTTCAGATAAAACTGGAAGATTAGCATTGGTTAATGTGGCAACACAGGTATGTTTTTAAAAATGCTTTTGACTACTACATTATTAAGTTGTGGTGAATTATTATTAATGTAATACAGATAATTTTATAATAATGAATTGACCATTGAATTTACTCAAATTTAAATGTTTACTTTAAAATTAATAGAACTAATCTTGTTTCTTAATATCAGAATACATGACTATAGTATAAATGACAGTTCAATGATTAGTCGACTAACTGATGATTGTTCCAATAGATTTATTAAAAGCCTGTTGATTTGAAATGAAACATAAACAGTGAATAGTAATTTATATGACATTTCTAAATTTTTTTGGAATATTAAAAGGTGGTACAAAAATCATGGAAAGCAAAATATTATTTAATATTAAATCCAATTGATTAGACTGACATAATTATCATTCTAAACAATGGATAAATTTATAATTTATTTAATGTATGTAGCAAAAATAATTTGGTTTGGTCATCAATAGTTTTTCAATAAATTTCCCTTCTTTGTTTACCATAGATTGAATGATCAAGAGTTAGCTTTCCTAGGAAATAATGGGCTTTGTTGAATTGACTTTCTTTTCTCATCAGAATGGGGTAAAACAAAACACCTAGTTTAATGATTTTTTAGATGTAGGGAACCTTGTAAGGGAAGGACAAGAGTGAATTTTGTAGGAAAACTTTTCTAACAAATGCTTAACTGATGATTATTTTATGATTTAATGATTAGTGTTATTTAGTCTTTCAATATAACATTAGTGGTAAGAATTTGTTAGATGATATGAATCTTCATTTGTGCTAATCTGTATTAGGAAATAAGTTTAGAAATCCTCAGTGATCCAGTAATGTTTCTTGTTTTTGCAAAATCAATGTGTGTCTATGAATATTAAAAAGACAGTATTAAATAAGTAGTTTTATAACAGGAATATAAAACATGTGATCTGTTAAATGTTTTATTGATGATTCTATTAAAATATTTTTGACCTACCCAAAAATTTATAAATGCATTAGTGTTATTTTTCTATAAAGCTGTGTGACATATTTGAGTTTAGCATAGTTTTGTATTGTTAGATTTGTATATAAATATTTAATATATACCAAATGTTTTAGCTAAAATGTTCTTCACAGATTTATTGTAGGAATCTGTCCAGTGTGACCTGATGTCTTCTTTTGATTGCCTGCACCAAAACAAAATTTGCACAGATATCCAATCAGACATAGGACTACCTTCATTGCCTTCCAGCATGAAGTAGTGCCATAGTCCATCGGTGAATTTTCTGGCATTGTGGCTTGTTACTAGCTCAGGCTCAGGAATGTCATTTTCAACACTTTTGTGGTTTTCTGAGATCTTTTGATGTTTTGCCATGATTTCTGGCACAATCCTGTCTTCCAGATCTTCATTTTAGTTGTGGCAGTGAAGATTGTCATCAACTCGTAAAAACTCATTGTATTGACAGACTTCTTGCACTTTTGCATTAATGTCATTCCCGTTGCTGTCTGCTGCCACTGCTTGCATTGCTGAGTCCAAGTGCTTGAAACCACAGTGACCAAAGCAGTTTTGAACCGTCTTGCTGCTTATCTTCTGTCAACTGTCACTTAGGAACTATAGTCTATTTATCCTAACTTGGCAGCTACTGTAAACAAAGATTCTGTCGTATTAATCTGCCGAAGATTTTCATTGGTCAAATCACAATCGGAAGTGGCTCGACACGTGTTGACCAGTTAAGCCCCTTTCTCTGCACGTGTTAAAGTAGGTCAAAGTTGTCACAACAATTTAAAAATTACCGAGATAATACAATACTTAGAAAAGTTATTATAGCTTACTTTAACATTTTTACGTAGCCGTTTAAATTATTTCCATCGTTTAAATATAGTTTGTCAAAAATTATTATTAAATATATATTATTAAGACTTACAGAAAACATGTATGAATTTATCTATGTTATATTTATATAAATAAAAATTTTTTAAAATAATTATAGTGTAAACTTACCTTATTAATCATCTGTATCAGAACATAGTTGCTCAAAGTAATCATTTATATCGCTTTCGTCACTACTTGTGTTAGACTGAATAATCAGTTTTTCTACAACAGTTTCTGAAATCTCATCAAGTTCCCACATTCGTTGTTCTTCTTTTTCTATATGTTCAATACATTTTCTCCATCGTTCTTCATTTATTTGTTCGATAGCTTCATTCATTAAAATTCGCACATCCGACAGTTTGAATGTTGTGTTGTGACGTGCGATGTAACCTTTCATATCTGCCCATATCAATTCAATAGGATTTAAATTACAATGATACGGAGGTAAACGTAACACGTCGATACCTATTTCTTTGGCCATTTCGTCAATAATATATTTATCGTATTTATGTTTTATTTTTTTAACAATATCCAAAAGTTCTATTTTCAACATTTTGTCGTTATGACGAACCCTATTTTTTTCCAACCAAGAAATTATGTCAGCTTTTTTCCAACT